GCACAGAAAAACTAAAGTAAAATTCTAAGAGAACATGCACAGGACTTCAATCAGAAATGCTGATGAAAGATATCAGAGATTAGGGGCACCTGGTTGGCTTAGTCGGTTAAGTGTCTGCCTTAGGCTCAGGTCATGATCCCAGGGTCTTGGGATTGAGGCCCACATCCGCAGGGAGCCTGCTTCTCCCTCTCCAATTGTCCCTCCCCACTCCCCTGCTTGAGTTCTCTCTCATGCTCTCTCTCTCAAATAAATAAACTCTCTCAAATAAATAAATAAAATCTTTAAAACCTTTAAAAAATAAAAAAAGAAAGAAATTGGAGATCTAAATGAGAGACTTACCATATGCATGACCTGAAAAACTGAACATAGTAAAGATGTCTCCTCCCAAATTGATATCCCTGTTTAATGCAATTAATATCCAAATCTCAGCAAAATTTTGAATAGTTGTAGATACAGTTATTCTAAAATGTATATGAAAAACCAATGAAATTAGGATAGATAAATCTAAATTTGATAAAGAAAAATAAAGTTGAACAACCACCCAGCCAAATTGAAGACTTTCATACCCCTGTGATATTAAGACTAATGGGTGCTGTGGAGGGATGGGCACATAGCCTGAAGGAACAGTATAGAGAATCCAGAAATAGCCCTACACCAACTCATTTTTGATAAAGCTGCAATGCAACTCAAGAGAGGATGGATAGTCTTTGCAAACACATAGATATCCATAGGTAAAAACAAAACACAAGCAAAATCAAAGGAAAAGGAAAAAAAAAGCAAAAGGAAAATGAGATCAATTCTCACACTTCTTACAAAAATGCACTCATTAGAAATCAGAAATTTAAATGTAAAGTATAAAACTTTTAGAAGAAAACAAGAAGAAATCTTTGGGGTGAAATGTTTGGGTCTAGTGAAGAGTTCTTCTTAGACATGACATCAAGGGCATGATCCATAAAGGAAAGGCATCAATGAATTGGGCTTTACCAAAATTAAAGACTTTTATTTTGAAAAATATCCTGTTGAGGGACTGAAAAGTTTAGATACAAAGAGAAAATATTTGCACACCCAAAATATCACAAAGAGCATGTGTCTAGAATCTGTGAAGAACTCTCAGGACTCCACAGTAAACACACACACACACACACACACACAACTACTCTAATTACAAAATGGGCGAAAGACATGAAGAGACATTTATCAGAGAGAATATTCACATGGCAGATCAGCTCATTGAATGGTGTTCACCATCACTAGCCACTAGGAAAGGCAAATTAAGAACATGCTGAGATATCACTCCATACCTATTGAAATAGCTAAAATATGAAATAGTGACAAGGGCAAATGATGATGAGAATGCAGAGAACTTGGATGTGTCCTGCACTGACAGGGATGTGAAATGGTGCAGTCTCTCTGGAAGATAGTTCGGCAGTTTCCTAAAAACTAAATATACACTTAACCTCCTGACCCAGGAATCACATTTCTTGGCCTTTATGTCAGAAAAATGAAAACTCACATTCACATAAAACTGTACAAAATGCTCACAGCAGGAACAACCAAAAGGCTCTGCAGTAGGTGAATGGTTAAGCTGTGGTGTGCCCATAACATGGAACACTCTCAGCAATAAAAGGGAACAAGCTGAGGATCCACCCAACTACTTGGATGGATCTCAAGGGCATGACGCTAAGTGAAAAAGGTCAAGCTCAGAAGGTGCCGTACTGAATGATTCCATCTATCTGACATTCTCCAAATGACCAATTATAGAGATGGAGAGCAGATTAGTGGTTGTCAGGTGTGAGGGTCATGGGGCCCAAAAGGAAGTGGTTGTGAATATAAAGGGTAGCATGAGGGAGATCTCTGTGGTAATGGAAGAGTTCTGTGCTTGACTGTGGTGGTCACACAAAGGTACCCATGGGAGGAAACATAGGTGTACAACTGCACACACACATTTCACCAATATGTTTCCTGGTTTTGATATTGTATTATAGTTTTATAAAATATGTAATCATTTGGGGAAACTAGGTAAAGGTGTACACTGTTTCAGGGTCTTTCTATACTCTCTTTGCAAATTCTTATGAATCTGTAATTAAAATAGAAAGTTGTTAAAAGGTGGCCTTCTGGCTAAAATCGAGAACCCTCACAACCCCAAATGCTAGCAAACCAGGATGCATACAATAGGGGATCTCATCCCTTGCTGGTGGTAACGCAAAATGGGATAGTTATTTTGGAAGACATGGTGGTGATTTCTTACAAAGCTAAACATGCTCAAACCTTACAATCCAGCAATTAGACTCTCAGGTATTTAGCCAAATGAATTGAAAACATATGTCCCCACAAAAACTGGCACAGGAATGTTTATAGCAGCTTTGTTCATAATTGTGAAACTTGGAAACACAAGCAAGGTGTCCTTTGGCAGGTGAATGGATAAACTGTGGAACATCCACACAATGAAGTATTATTCAGCAATTAAAAAAAAAGCTATTAAGTTTGAAAAGATGTGGTAAAACCTTAAATGCATATTGCTACATGAAAGAATTATCTTAGACTAGAAAAGCCCTTACTGTATGATTTCAACTATATGACATCCTGGAAAAGGCAAAACTATAGAGATCTGTATAATACTAAGAGTGAACCCTAATCCCACTATGCACATCAGCAAGCAATAATGTATCAGTTTTGGTTCATCAATTGTAACAAATGTAATGACAAATGTTAATGATAAGAGAAACTGTATATGGAGCACGGGGGAAGATGTGGAAATTCGGGAACTTTGTACTTTTTGCCCAATTTTTCTGGGAACTTAAAACGGTTCTTAAAGGTATTCAAAACATGTCTTTTATATGGGAGGAAATAGATGTTTTCTTTTTTATTCCACATGTGTCTGAGTTTTATTGTATTCTCTATTGTACATGTATTTATTTTATAATAAAAATAGGAGCTACATAAAAGAAACACCTGTGCCTATTTTCAAATTTCTGAAGACATGGCTTTGATTCTTTAAGCCATAAGTACAGAAACTTGTTCTTTTTTAGTAAGTCCTTTAAGGTGTTAAAAGGTAAACTGAGACGTAAGACAATTTTCAAATGTTTATTTGAGAACATGATTCAAATCTGGCAGTGCCAACATGAAAATTGTGAAAAGTTGTGTGACAGGAGCTAGGGGACAGGCTTTGACAGAGCAGACGCAGAAGCAGAGCATGGAAATTCCCTGATTGGCTATATTCTCTTCACTTGCCTTTCTTGGAAAGCCCATTTGGCTATTGGTGACTTTGCTGGGATACCAGTGCGCTTACAGGAATTGAGTCTGGCTCAGGTTTCAGTTTGCTTATGTAAGTTGCCAAGATGTTAGAGCCATCTCAGTCTAATGGCCTCCTAGGGAAATTACTCCAACAATTTTCCCCTTTTGGTCATCCTCGCACACCTGAGTGTTTGACCAAAAATTTGCTATTAGTGCCACTCTCAGTCACCATCAGGATTAAGTTGTTCTGGTTTCCCTGTGAAACTCATAGGTTATAACTTCAGGTTTGTTTGCACCTCCCCGTTCATGTCATTTCTGCTTTTCCAAGTAGTGAGACCATCTGATGTACTGCTGACCATGTGAGCATGTGCTTGAGACCCTTGAGAGAACACAGCTTATGATGACTATCAGGAAGAGAATACCTAGAGATGGAAGTCAGGACCCCCATGAACCAGAGCAGTTGGTATTAGTGTGTTTGAGCCAAAAGCCTTGTTTGTTAATTTCTTGAATTGAGTTTCTGTAATATCAGAGGTGTGGATCCAGAAGCAGAAGGAGGTATCTGCTATGGCACAGACTCCTTCTTTAGCCAACAAGTGATTACTGCAATTTTATTACCTGAGACCACCTTATCAGCTCAAAACAATCTTTATGCCAGAATAGCATATTTTGGGATGGCATATTCTGCCACCGTTCATGTCTTGCTTTGGTTATACTTTTCTGAGATTTTTATCATCAGGTTGTAGAAATTTTGTGAAAAAATAATGGAATTTATAATTTTTGCAATACTATTACCACTGAGTATGGTACCTGATTACTCTTCTTGCATTTTTCCTTTAATTCTTATAATAACTCAGTGTGGTAAAAACTGCCATCAGTATTTCCATGAAAGGAATCAGGTAAGTTCAGTTAAGCAAGGTGTCACTGAACACACAGCTAGTAAATGTAGAGTAAGATGAAGCTCAAGTTGATGTCTATTCAACACCCTTTATTTGCCACTCTATCTAACTGTCAGGATAATTGATCTTCATGGTTTGGGGTAGGCTCTGGTAACCAGTTAGAAATAAATCTCAAGTAATAGTTTCACAGATAAATGAGCAATAGCCCACTGTGTTTCAAACATTTTTTCATTCCATTTTAATGTCAAGTTCTGCCCAACCTCCCATTTTTTACTTGGTTTTTCAACCCAGAGATACATATTCAATACAAGGTTGTTCCAAGAATAAGTCAAACCATTCTTCTGGTAATAAAACAGGCATCCAAGACCATGTTAATAAAATGGGTAATGGTGATCCACAGTGTCCAATCCTATTTTTCATTAAACCTGGAGTGGATGTCATTGGTATGTAAATCCTATAACATATATAAATCCTCCTCTACTCTGCTCCTCACACCACTCCTGTCTGCTCCCCATCATCAGTCTCACTCATTATGTGTGGCTAAACCCAACGCTTTAACATTCATTCTACCAAGGATCTAGAATTATCATTGACTTGGAGATCAAGAACCAAAACCAGATTCTGAAACCATCCTAAATAGAGATCTCCCAACAAATGAACTCTACTCTAGGGTTTTCCATTGGGGGACTGGACCATAGCAACTGGATTGATTGCAGATACTATGAAAGAGGTGTAGTCCTAATGAACCTAAATATTTCTGATTACTTACAGAACTTATCACATATATTCAACATTCACACATTTCAGGATGAAAGAATCACATTTAAACCCTAGTCCCTGTAAAGAACAGGCTTAGATACCAAAAATTAATCTCAGACCCATCAAACAGTTTATTGTGTTCAAAAAAGTCACAGTCACAGTTTGAAGAAACCCAAGCAATAAGTGTAGAAGGGATGTCTGTATTGAACATTCACAAGGTTCCATAGCAGAGACAGGATCCTGTGGGGTCTATTCGGGGGGCATTCCCTGGTGATATTAAAATGATGGTAGAAAATGGAGGAAAATAGACCCAAGAAGGAGCAACAAATTGGGAATAACTAGATGTCAGAGTCTGGACAGATCAGGAAGGCATCATCATTCTTAGAATAGGTAAAGGGCTGGAAAATGCTGAAGAATGGTTGCCTTCAGTGAGGCGAACAGTTGGAGTATTGCCAGGTTTATAAAACTACTGAAGCACAAATTTCTTCATTGATCTTCTCTCTTGGAAACTGCATTGCCTGTAGCAGGACACACAGAATTACTAAAGAGCTAAGATGAGTATTTAAAGCACTTTTTTTTTCAGATTCCTTCCTCTTCTCCCTTAATCCTTTGACTTTGGAAAAGTCTCTAAATATTCATTTGATTTCTGTCTAGTAAATAAAACCTTTCCAACATGAACTGTACCCCCTACTCTCCAAATGAGCATGAATGAGCAGACCATGGTTTACCTCCTCTTAGAAGTTTTAACACCACTTTTCAGATTGGAGAAACAAAAACAGCATTGGCCTTCAAAGAATTTTCATTTCTTGAAGTGAATCTGCCCTAACCCTAAGTGAGCCAAATTCTGGGAATGTTTCTGAACTGAAGATCTGTGTCTGGAATCATAAACCAGGAAGTGCCCAAATCTTTCCTAGATCACTTGATTCAAAAGTCTGATGTGAAACAATGGTCTTAGGTAGTGGAGATGATTTCCAAGATTGAAGTTGTGGTGTAGGTGCACATGTATGGGAAGGAATATGGGACCTTGAGGCTTTGGGATACCAGATGATGTTAATGTCTGATTCTGTCCTAGCAAAGGTAAATCAAGAACTATAACTTCCCTATCATTTTCCTTTAAAGGCATCACATATCCTTCCTTTTCCCCACTCTGTCTCCTACCCTTGGATAACTCCATCTATGTCTTCCTCTGACCACATCAAACCCACCTGCAGGTGCCTCACAGAGGCCCTCGGCGTTCACCAGCATTGACCTTGCGTGTGCCCTTGATGATGAAGATGGTCCCGACAATGATGCCAACCAGACCCACAACCAGGCCCAGGGCACACACCACATTCTCTTTTGTCTCTGGGAGGGGGGTTGGTGCTTCAAACTCTGGGGAAAAATAATACAGAGTATAGTGTGGAAGTAATGACTGTGGAAGTAATGACTGTGGTATGGAGTAGCACTTAGAACCAAAGGTAGGGTATTTATTCAAAAGAATAGTTATTAATCAACTGAATGAGAGGAATGATGAATTAAGGAAATGAAGATTGAACAGTGTGGGGAGCTGAATAATGGGAGAAGGCAAGGAATAGGAATTGCAGCAATTGTTATGGATGAGTTAGGGGACTCTGGGTCCCAAAGCACCAGACACAGGCATCATGGGAGGAAATCACAAAAGAAAGGAGATTGAAGGATGGTCCATACCCCAGTGTTTGAGAAGAGGCTTGTCCAAACCCCAGTGCTCCACCTTGCAGTCATAGACATCGTCGGCTGAGGGCAGGAAGGGGAGATAGTGGAACTTGCGGAAAAGGTGGTCTTCCCTGGGCAGGAAGACTGTCTCAGACACTCCTGTGGTGACAGGGTTTCCATTTCGAAGCCACGTGACATTGATCACTGGTGGGGAGAACTTGTCGATGAAACAGATGAGGGTGTTGGGCTCTCCCAGTTCCACGGGGGTGTTTGAGAGCACAGTCACCTCTGGAGGTACTGGGGACAAAGGACAGAAATTAGCCTTCCCTGCTTAGGCTGGCCCCTCTTCCTCCCACCGAAGCGGAAAAAGCAGTGGAAACTCTGCCCTGAGCATCTATGCCATGTCTCAGACTCCTATCTCTGATACTCTCCCCCATGAACTGGAGCCAGTGTTGTGGTATAAGATATATAGAAGGATATTTTAGGTCCTGGAGATAATTTCATTCTTGGTTTCCCCAGCATAGATTTGGGGCAATGACTCTGTGAGTGACTGTTGTTGGCAGGGACAAGATGTGAGCACATCAGGAAAGGAACAAACTCATGTAAAGTTCTTGAGTCTGTGGCATGAGAAGTAGGGACTTGCTTATGGCGAGGTTGGGCCCCTGGGAGGGAAAGTCAGTTACAGTAACATACAGTAACATAACACAACAAGCTGAAGCATCTACTTCAAAGTTACGATTCCCGTGTCTAGGAGTGCAGCATTGTGTACCATTGGTGTTCGGGGTGTGGTTGGAGCGCTTTATCATGATGTCCAGGTTAGCTTTGTCCACAGCTATGTTGGCCAAGGCACCCTGGGCCTCAAAGCTGGCAAAACGTCCAAATTCTTCCAGCCTCCACACTGTCTCCTTCTTTTCCATATCCACGTGGAAAATCTCATCACCATCGAAGTCAAACATGAACTCTCCTGATGGGTCAGGCGTCAGATAGAACTCAGCCTGGATGATCACATGGTCCTCTGAAAAGGCAGGGAAGAGAGTTAAAGTTGGAACCAGGAGAGGGAGAGGAAGAAGAACCCAGGATGTGAGACAAACATGTGGGCGGGTGTGGGGGAACGATATGGAGTGGGGCTGTATGAGTGAATGAGTGATGGAGAGTGGGGAGGAATAGGAAGATGAGACTCAGGTGCAGGACATCCGTGTTGAACAGAGCTGGCAGGGGAGAAGTAAAGGGGCAGAGTTAGAGGGCGTGGACTGAAAGAAGTGAGGCCTGGAAACCCCAGAGTCTTGTGAAGCTATTAGGCTCCAGGTTACTAGCCGAGAAACGATCCCCTCTTTGGAAATCCAGCAGCAGCTCCCAAAAGAGAATTGCTCACTCAGTGTATTTTCCCAGGCATTAAATACACTGCAGCCTTAATTCCAGGGGATCTCTCAGGGTACTGCAGCTCTAAGAAGGGGGAAACACTGTTTAGAGGGTGGCTTTAGGACTTTGGAATCAAACAAAATTTTGAAATCTCTCTTTTTGTTCAATGGAGATAAAAATGGCATACAAGATGACATTAATTTTACATATGTAACAGAATTATTTGCTATGTATACATATGTAATGCAATTCATATCAGCATACCTGATCAGCATACTTCCCCTCCCTGGAGTAGATTGTTGCTTTTGGGGGACTTTCCTCTATACTGATCCTCAATATAATATCTGTGCTCAAAATATGCTGACAGGATTCACATGCCAAAAAATAACTACTGTGCATTCAGCTAAGTACAGGAGCTGAGAAGTTTTCATATTTTTTTCTCATTTAATCCCCACAAAATTCTGTGAGGTTTAAAATTTTGATTGCACTAATTTTCCAGAAAGAAACTGAAGCCCAGACAGTAACTTGTTAATGCTTCTCAGAACATATTTTCCACCTCAAGTCTGGTTTCTCTCAAAGTCAATGGTATTAGTCAATATAGAACTCAGTTTTTGTTCCTCTAAACTAAACGTGACTGACTTCAATTTGTGGTAAAGACAAAACTCCTCCAGACTACAGTTTATTATACTTTCAGATTTATAACCACACAATACCTGTCACACTTTTCTTTCATTCCAAAGACAGTTTTGCAAATGTCCACCATTCATCTCTCCAATGCTCTAAGAGATTATATCCCTAGTTTTGCTTCTCTCGGCACCTACCTTTGATAGCCCAGGATTCTTGAGGACGCATCAGGAAAACCATGATAAAAGATCCTAGCACCACGACTCCATTAATGGCCATTTTCTTCTTGGGGGCTTTAATGGGGGTCAGTAGAGCATAAGACTGGGGTAAAACTGACAAGACTAGAAGAAAAGAGAATAGAATCTGACATTAAAATTCAAATCAGTTGAGCTCCAGCCAATCAGAAAGAACTTCTGAGATGACACATCTGTTACTAAGGAAAGGGCTTTTTAAATGGTTCAGGAACAGAATTACCTCACTCATTAAAGAAGTAAAGTTCTTAAACAATCAAATAAACATGCAACCAAATAAAAACACAGAAAATCCTCTTTTTGAGAAGGTTGGGAAGTCACTCACAGACTCTCCCATCCCAGCCCAAGTTCTAGAAAGAGATGTACTTGAAGCTTAATAGTGAGGATAGAATGAATGGATAGATTCAAAAGTGAGAGGTAGTAACAGGTCATTCCTTTGTGCTGTGACAGCTGGGGAGTTTAAATAAGGAATAATAAATCATCTAAAGAGAAGGCAAATTGTCCTGCTATGGGGAATGCCTGATTCTTGGCAGCAGTGGGTGACAGAGCTGCATGTCAGAAGCTTCTTACTGCTCTAGGTTTGTCCTCCACTGTCCTAGACTCCCAGATGGCCAACTTGGCCCAAGAGCAGGGCATCCCTGGCACTGTGCTATATTGAGAGAACATCAGAGGAGAAACTCTGAGTGTCAACACTCCCCCAGCTGGGGAAAGATGGTAGAGACGCCACAGGTAGTGGTTCCTGGAAACAGTGGACTGTAATCCCTACCATCTTAAATATGACCAGAGATTGGAGCAGACTGCTGGGGACACATGTCATATGAGGACTCAAATCAACAAATAGGGTGGACTAAATTGGGCAGAGCTTATTTTACTGGGAGCAATAGAGATAATAACCTGCAGGAGGGCTTTACCATAACTTTCCTCATGTCATAACATTCTGAAAGTTCTCCTCATGTCATAAATCATGGAAGTTCTGATCCTAAGAATTTATTCTGATGTTCATCATTGAGAAAACTGAAAGTTAAGACACTCTGACCCTCATGTTTCTGACCATACAGTACAGTAGAAAGGAAAATTAAACCACACACAGAGAGGGCTGGAATCTGAATACTTCCAATATAGAGAGACCTGGCAGCGAGGCAAGCTGTTCAGTGGTGAGTTCACTGTTTAATATCAGTCATGACACATATGCTCAGGGTGGATTTTCTACACTGTTGTGCTGACGTCTTATCCTGCCCCACAGCTGCCCTCGCAAATCATGAGGGGAAAAAACCCTATACATTATGGATTATCTGATCGCGTCTAAGGGCTTTGAAGATTCTCTGACACTGACTTCTAGACCACTTGGAAGAGACCCACAGCACAGTTTTGCCCTGAGATTGTTAAGGAATACACTTCTTGGAGGCAAAGGAATGGGCCAGATGAGAGGTCTACAGTACCAGTCTCTGCTGAGAGTCTGGTCCTATGATTTAGGCTTGTCGTCTCCTCTTTCAGAGGAAAAAACTAGTATAATTTCTCCATGCCTACCCTTTGCTGGTTGTCATACTGCCTGGTTCTTATAAGTTGCTCGGTGAATATACAGTAAACTCAGAGACACTTTACAGAAAAATATTTTACTTGTCATAACAGCACCTTCAACCCAAGGTGTTGCTCAGCAACTTATGATATGGCTTAGTTCTAAAACACTGATTGGTTCTCCTCATGAGATTACCAAATTTGGGAATGTTTAGAAAATATTTTCATTTCCCTTTCCCTGTGACAGGAGAGAAGTTCCTATCCAGACACTACTCATGGTTCCCTGTCCCTATACTCTAGCTTCCTATGTCTGAGGGGATTTCTGAGGGCACCTGAATGAGGTCTGAGCAGTGACGTCAAATGGTGAGCGGCCACTGTACTAGTCAGAGTTCAGTCTGACAAGAGAAGATCCTGTGAGACACTCTGCATAGAATTGTTTGTTACAACTCATCTGTATTACAGGGAATTATACCTTTAAAGTGTTAGAAGCCTGGGGGAGCCCAGATCAGCGCAGACCCCGTACTCTAAGGGGTCAGGAGCCTGTGGGAAGGCACTGTGGACATCTCAGCTCCTCTAGAGCCCCAGGAAGAGGACTGTGTTGGCAACACAGGGCTGTTGCCAAGACTCCTGTCTGTGACGCCCCATGTCCACTGCACGAGATGGCTTCAGCCTTCCTGCCACCTCCCAAATCTCATATTAACTTTCGCTGGCGGTGTGTAGGCCACGTCCAGATCCTGGGGCAAGGAGAGTCTGGGGAATGTAATCTCTTACTTATATTCCCTGTGGTACAGAGAAGACAAAGAAGCTAATAATTTTATTTATTTGTAAATAAAGGAAAGAGAGAGAGCATGTACACGAGGGGAGGAAGCGGAGTGAGAGTGGGAGAGAATCTCAAGTGGACTCCATGCTGAGCAGGGAGCCAGACATGGGGTTCGATCCCAGGACCTTGATATCATGACCTGAGCCAAAATCAGGAGTCGGATACTTCCCCGGCTGAGTCACCCAGGCACCGTGCTAATGGGAATTTTTTAAATTGCTAAATGAAAATATATTTATATCTTGATATCCTATATCTGTATCATCTGTTTATGTCCGCCATGGTTCACTCAGGCTCCTTCCACAGTGGCAAACCTAGAACCAGAGAGAATATTAATTTGGGTATTTGGTCAGGCCTTGGAAATGGATAGCTTTCACATGGACCCAGGTCATGTCTGGGACCTCACTTCAGGTTTGTGTGGTTTGTATTCTGAGAACCTCCAGCTCCTGCCTTTTGCTTCCCCTCCCTGCCTTTTTCCCTGTAGCCCTCAGAACTTCCTATCAGTGCTGCTGGGCAGTGGGAGGGATACTGATCCAGGCACTTCCTCCCCGAATCTCCATATAAGAAGCTTTACTTGGGGGCGCCTGGGTGGCTCAGTTGGTTAAGCGAAGGCCTTTGGCTCAGGTCATGATCCTGGAGTCCTGGGATCGAGTCCCGCATCGGGCTCCCTGCTCAGCGGGGAGTCTGCTTCTCCCTCTGACCCTCCTCCCTCTCATGCTGTCTCTCCTTCTCTCTCTCTCTCTCTCTCAAATAAACAAGTAAGATCTTAAAAAAAAAGAAGCTTTACTTGTTCTGTTTCATTTCTCCTTCCCATCTTGAGAGCCAGCAGAAGCTAGTCTTGCTGAAATAAATTTCTATCAGAGTGAAAAGCATCAACTGCTGATATCAACAAATGTGCTAGAGTGGTGGGGTCATGGACCTTCTTAACCTGTTCTGTGTGAATAAAGGGGCCGGGGTGTTTGGGTTCATCTCTAACCTGGGAGAGTGACAGTTTGTGAATTTGATTTGTTCTTTCTCTACCTGGACTTGAAACCTGATGTCTGAAAGGTCTGGGGTCCTGGGGTTGTGAAATCCCCCTTCTCTGCTTGGGTAGTGCTTGTGAATAAGAACATACGGATATATTCGCATATGTGCATACACACTCATCGGCAGAACTATTGTCCTTGTTATATAGGCATTATAGCATACCACATGATTTATTGATTAAATCTTAATGAATACACCACTCTAAAATTCCTGTAAGTCGCACAAGCATATCTGAATTCAGCTATTAGATTGCTTGGAACAATGTAATTATCAATTGTCCCAATTTGATTTAAGACAAATCCTTTTCTATCCCCTGCTGGAAATTTCTGCAGGCAGAGGTGAGTGTGCTTCTTCTTACTCACATTCTAGTTGGGGGCTGACTCAGAGAGAGGGAGGAAGAGGAAAAGCAGGAAATGTCTTAGTGGAAATAATGTGTGTTCTCTGGAACTGGATGATGTTCAACGCGGAGATTTTCTGTTGTGTGAGGTTTTTCACGCCCTTCAAATTCCCTCATGGCCTATGTCTGGTGTGTAGGAGACACTGAAAGGTCCTTTGCGCCTACAACTCTGGGAGTGCAGACCTTTCCCAACATGGCCACCCTTTCCTGCATCTGCCACCAACAAACAGGTCCATCTGCCCTGCCCGCTAGGTTTCCTGGGTGGGATCAAGAGCAAATTCCATTGTCCTCAGCCACCCAGCTTCCCGGCAGGTAAAGCAAACTCTTGGGCCTCCCAGAAAATATTTCACTATGTTCCAGGCAAGTAAATTCCTCTCTTTCCCACATACTTTGGAGGTAGAGGATAGAATTGATAATTAAGCACAGATCTATCCACAGGTATTGTGAACACGCTCTCTCCTCAACTCTCTGACCACCATTTGGCCAGTGGAAAGAGAATAATGGAAAAATATTTTTCTTACTTTAAAATTCCACAAAACAGGTAAGGAATAGTTTCGTAAATCCATAGATGTGTCTGTATTAAAGTCCCCTTAGGTAAAATTGAGGAAAGAGGATAGACATTAAATATACATGTTAAGTGAAGATGTATAAAAACCACAGCCTTGTCTGCCACTAGGCACATATACCATAACTTTAATACAGTGAAAGAAATGAACATGAAACTAGCAATGTGAGTTTATGTTTCTCAACCTGAATTTTTTCCGGAGTAATTGAGAAGATTAGGCTTATAACATGGCTCTTTTTAGAGTAAGCATAACACAAGGGTCTGTGAAAACTTGAGTTTCTTTCAAACTCTTAAGTCTCCTGCTTTGTTCCTAGAGGAAAATTGGTACTCGAGGATTCAGCTAGGTCTGTGCACTGTTGATGTACTCACATTACAGTGTTCGCGTGCTGCTGAGCTAACAAAACACATCTACTCCTGGGGCGTGTACCACATAAAGCTGCTGAGCGTTGAAGATTGTTCTTTCAGAGGACAGTAGCCAGCTTTCTATGCGGACTCTTCCTTTACTCAGGAGGCAATTTAGGGGCTGGGTTTTCAGAAATGACTGAGTCCAGACAATAGTGCACTATTGTGCACCATTACTCTGGGCTGTGCAACATTCTGTAGAAATGTGGACCCATTGAGCGTGATCTCTGCTCATGTCTGCAGAATATTAGACTGTTTGGAGAGCATCCTTTCCGACACTTACTCTTTTCTTTTTTTCTTTTTCTTTTATTTTTTTACATTTTTAAAAATTTTATTATGTTCTGTTAATTACCATACATCACCAGTTTTCGATGCAGTGATCCACG